TGCTGAAGATCACATGATAGCATTTTGCAAAACCAACCACTTATTCATTGTAAATGCCTTTTTTCAACAACATAAGATGGAATATACAGGACTCAAATTAATTATCTCTATGAGAAGAAATGATGGAGAAGTTCAATATCATCATCAGCCAAAACAAAGTCTGGAAGAATATCACATGCTCATATACAATTGCTCATATGAAGAAAATTAAAACAAGACCATGAGAGCCAAAATACATATATCCCATCTGAATTTATAGACCATATCAAGAACAGATTTGGCACATTGAACATCAGTTACTGAAGACCAGAGGAGTTGTTGGATGACACCAAGAACATCATACTGTAGAAAACAAAGGGACCTTAAAAGCTAGAAGTAAGGAAAGGACCAAACTGAAAGTCAGAACAGATTCTGGCACTTGCTCTTAAATGTAGAGTAGTGAAAGCTAATGAGAGAAATTATGCTGTAATAAAGCTGAACAGAAAATTTCAAAGGACAGCTTGAGAAGACAAAGTCAAGTATTATAATGAAATGTACAAAGACCTTGCCTTAGAAAACCAAAAGGGAAGAATAAGCTCAGCATTTCTCAACCTGAAAGAACCCAAGAAAAAATTCAAGCCTTAAATTGAAGAATTCTGGTGTGATGCTGTGGGTTAATGTGCCAGACTGCAAAACCATTTGAACTGCAAAGTTGGCAGTTCAAGCTCACCAGCTTCTCCTCAGAAACCCTACCCCGGGTCGCTATGGGTCAGAACTGACTCGATGGCACTTAACAACAACAACAATGTACAAAATATCGAATGATGCAGGAAGCATCTAAAGAAGATGGAAATAATACACAGAATTACTGTATCAAATATAATTGATTGGCATTCAACCATTTCAGACTTAGCGTATGATCAAGAATCAATGATATTGAAATTAGAAGCCCAAGTTGCATGAAATCATAATTAAACAAAAGGCTCCAGAAATTGACGAATAATAACTGAAAGGTTTCAACAAACTGATGCAGCAATGGAAGTACACACTCTTCTAGGTCAAGACATTTAGAAGACAGCTACCTGGCCAATCAACTGCAAGAGGTCTTTATTTGTGCCCATTTCAAAGAAAGGTGGCTCAACAGTTAGTGGAAATTATTAGACAAAATCATTAAATCACAGGCAAGTAAAATCTTGCTGAAGATGATTCAAAAAATTTGTGGCAGGACATCGGTAGGGAACTACCATAAACTCAAGTTGGATTCAGGAGAAAGTGGCATTAGGAATACTATTGCTGAAGTATTGGATCTTGACAGAAAGCAGGGAATACCATAAAGACATTTACTTGTATTTTATTGACTATGCAAAGGCATTGGACTATGCTGATCACAAAAAACTATAGAAAACATTGAGAAGAATAGAAATACAAGAACACTTCATGGAATACTGAATGGTTTAAAATCGGGAAAGGTGTGACTACAGGTTGTATCTTTTCACCATGTTAATTCAATCAATTTTCTGAACAAATAATCCAAGTAGCTTAACTAAATGATGAAGAAGAATGAGGCATCAGGATTTGAGAAAGTTCATTAAACCTCTTTTTTTTTTCCCTCAGAGGTGCCATTAAAAATATGGCACCACAGGTTAATGCACTGGACCACAAGATTGGTTTGAACTGCAAGGTTGACAGTTCAAACTCACCAGTTGCTCCTCAGAAACCCTATGCAAGTTCATTACGGTTGGAACCAACTCAATGGCACTTAACAATATTTGTAGATGACACAATCTTGCTTCTGATAGAGAAGAAAACTTGAAGATCTAAGACTACAGTCTTCAGTATGGACTACTTTCAATGTAAAGAAAACAGAAATCCTTATAACTGGACCAATAAAATCATGATAAATGGAGAAAAGACTAAAGTTATCAAGAATTTCATTTTACTTGGATCCACAATCAATGCTCACAGAAGCAGCAGTTAAGAAATCAAATGACATATTGCATTGGACAGATCTGCTGCAAAAGACTCTTCTAAAGTGTTCAAAAATGGCTACAACCATACATTGACAAAAAACTTTCAGAGGTTCAAGCCAGAGTCAGAAGAAGATGTGGCACCAGAAGAGATATTATTGCTGATGTCCGAAGGATCTTGTCTAAAAGCAGAGAATACCAGAAAGATATTTGTTGTTATGTGCCATGGAGTCGGTTCCAACTCATAATGACCCTGTACAGGATTTCTGAGGCTGTAAATCTTTACAGGAGCAGAAAGCCTCATCTTTCTCCCGTGGAACATCTGGTAGTTTCGAACTGCTGACCATGAGATTAGCAGCACGATTCGTAACCATTACGCTACCAGAGCTCCTTACCAGAAAGATGTTTATCTGTGTTTTATTGACTACACAAAGGCTTTCGATTGTGCAGATCATGACAAGCTATGGATAACATTGTGGAGAATGGGGATTCTGGAACACTTTACTGTGTTCATGAGGGACCTATACATAGACCAAGAGACAATTATTCAAAACAGAACAAGGGAACACTGAACGGTTTAACATTAGCAAAGGTGTGTGTTGTAGTCGAGTTGGTTCCGATCCATAGCGACCCTGTATAGGGTTTCCAAGGAGATGCTGGTGAGCTTGAACCACCAACCTTGCAGTTCAAACGGCTCTGCAGTCTGGCGCATTAACCCACAGCGCCACACCAGGACCAGCAAAGGTGTGTACCAGGGTTATATTCTTTCACCATATTTATTCAGTCTATATGCTGAGCAAATAATCTGAGAAGCTGGATTATATGAAGAAAAACATGGCATTAGGATTAGAAGCACACTCATTAACAACCTGTGATATGCAAATGATACAACCTTGCTTGCTGAAAGTGAAGAGGACTTAAAATAAAAATACTTACTGATAAAAATCAGAGACCACAGCTTTCGGTATGGGTTGCACCTCAATGTAAAGATAACAAAAATCCTCACAACTGGACCAATAAACAACAGCCATATAATATAAATGGAGAAAAGATTGAAGCTGTCAAAGACTTCATTTTGCTCAGATCAACACTCATGGAAGCAGCAGCCAAGACATCAAACGATGCATTGCATTAGGCAAATCTGCTGCACAAAAACTCTTCAATGTGGGGAGGAGAGAAAATGTCAGTTTGAGGACTAAGGTGCACTTGACCCAAACCACGATATTTTCAATAACCTCATATGCATGTGAAAATTGGATAGTGAATAATGAAGAGCATAGAAGAATTGATGCATTTGAGCTATGGTGTTGGAGGAGAATATTAATAGTACCATGGACTGTCAGAAGAACAAACAGATCTGTGTTGGAAGAAGAACAGCCAGAGTGCTCCTTGGAAGTCAGGAAGGCTAGACTTCATCTCTCATACATCAGACATATTGGTCCCAGGAGGGACCAATCCCTGGGGAAGAATATTATGTTTGGTATAGTGAAGGGTCATAGAAAAAGAGGAAGACCCCCAATGAGATGGATTGGCACAGTGGCAGAAGTGATGGGCTCGAACATAGCAACCATTGTGAGGTTGGCTCAGGACTGGGCAGTGTTTCGTTCTGTTGCACATAGGGTCACTATAAGTCAGTACTGACTCAGTGGCAACTAACAACAACAACAACAAAGTAAGTGTTCAACAGCAGAGATGTCATTTTGAGGACTAAGATGCACCTGACTCAAGTCTTGGTATTGTCAGTTCTCTCACTAGCATGTGAAAGCTGAAAAATGAATAAGACAGACCAGAAGGGAATTGGTGCATTTGAATTATAATGTTGGCAAAGAATATCAAGTGTACTTTTGACTGCCAGAAGAACAAACAAATCTGTCCTGGAAGAAATACAGATAGAATGCTCCTTAGAAGCGAGGAAGGCGAGAGAGTTCATCTCATGTACTTTGAACTTGTTATCATGAGGAACCAGTCCCTGGAAAAGGACATCATGCTTGGTAAAGTAGAGGATCAACAACAACAGCAAAAAATAGGAAGACCCTCAATGAGATAGATGGACACAGAGGCTGCAACAATGGGTTCAGAAATAACAATTGTGAGGATGTTACAGACAGGACAGTATTTTTGTTCTGTTGCACACATTGGATCTCTATGAGTCAGTGCTGACTTGATGGCACCTAAAAATAACATTACTATCCACAGGACTCTCTGGGCGTTCAGAGGTTTAAGTACTGGACTACTGGCTAGAAGGTTGGCAGTTCAAATCCATTCAGGAGACATGTTTATCCATCTGCTTCTCAAAGTTCACGTCCTTGAAACCCCTAAGGAGTTGTTTTACTCTGAACATATGGGATTGTCATGAGTAGGAATCAGCTTCACAATCCTACTCCTGAAATGTGATTACTTTAATATTAAACTACTAAATCGAGAAGGAAAACACAAAGACTTAAATTTCTTTCAAAATTCTTTATAACAGGAGCACAAACAATTCATACAAGCTTTCAGATTGGCTAAATAAGCAGCAATAAAAATACTCCACGTGCCCTGAAGTCTTGCAACAATTTGATTTAGTCAAATTACGATTACCTGCCTCCATCTAAGTAGTTAGTATCTCATGTGTTTTTAGCCAGCATCCTATTTCTTTTTAAAGTGAACACAAACATTTGTTAATGTTAAGAAATTATGAAGCGCATGGAAATAATCACTCAAACTTCTAATATATTAGAATTAAGTCTACTGCTTTCTCTAATTATTTGGGGCTGCAGAGAAAAATGAGATTTCTTCAAAGTTTAGTAAATTGCTAGAGTTTTCTTCTAAGTTTTATGCATCACATATTGTCTTTATAGTCAGACAACCTATGTTAGCTTCAGTCCTTTTGCTTGTCAGCTGTGCAACTTTAGAAAAGTGTTTCAGCATCTCCAAATCTTAGATTTTTCACCTATAACATAAATATAATCAATTCCTACCATTTAAATTGGTTGTAAGGATTAAATGTGATAATGTGTATAAAGCTAGTCCATGCATGGCACATCACTGTTTGGCATTATTATTGTTGAGAGTCTATAAACTCACCTTTCTCCCAATTAATTTCATTACCTGCTCTTTAAATAGGTAAGTGTCAGAAGAAGTTCCTATAATGTCGATGTGTGTCCTATAAAAATTTACCAGCACTTGAAGGTACCTTGATCTCTGTTGCTCACATGCTAACTTAATAGCTCTTTTCTCTCTATTTTCCTTTCCTTCCAAAACAAATGTCTCTTTTCTAAGTTCAAACTGAAGACAATGTGAATATTCCTCAATGAGATGTTTTACATGCTTTACATTATTGGGCTGAGACCCACCTTGAGCATTTTTTAGACAAATTGTAGAAATATCACCATCCACTGTCTCTTGACATAGAACATTAAATTTTTTCAATGTGTTTTTATAACATACACACTTCTGTTTCAAGTAAAGGAAAACATCTGTGTCGAGAACAAGTGTTTCTTCACTTCCAGCTGTCTCATGTACTGAAGTCCTCAGTGACTCCATTGAGTTACTGCTACGCTGTACATGCCTTTTAGGGCTTTCATCACTCCCCTTTTTTCCTTCACTGATAATAGTTCTCTTTCTTTCTATTAGAGAACGAGCTTTTAACAATAAAATTTCTCTGAGCCTCTTGATAGCCAGAAACGATCCTTGAACAGAGATTCTTCCATTGGGTTGCAAAGGACTGAAGCATAAAGTTGGGATTTTCTTTTTCAGGTCCCTTGTCAGATTTTCTAAAATAACTTGACTTTGAAAAACAGAGAGATCAAGAATAGCACTTACAGCACAGAAGACCTAAAATTTTAAAAGAAAGAAATGAAATTTTCACTGCCTAGTAAAATAATACATAAGTACATTCTTTTTCTACCACTTTCTCTTTCTCTCCTCAGAGGTTGCCCAAAACCAGACCCAACTGCCCAACCCAGACTTCCTGGCTTGTTGCACCATAGCACCCATCAAAGAGATCCCACAACCCCATCAAGGCCATGTTGCTCAATCTGGGACTAACAATTCCTTACCACATAACCCCAAAAAAGAGATTGTCAAATAGTTTTCAGCTAAAGAATACTCCTTTGAAAAAAATCTTATGTAGAACCATAGATAGAAAATCGTTCTGTTTCTTCTTTGAAAACAAGAGATGAGGACTCGACCCTTTTGGTCTTATGTCCTATCTTTGAAGTTCATCACATGGCTTCACAGAACCGTAGGTTTCTTACACAAAGGAATTTGTAAACTAATGCTTGAACAAACTTTTTCTTCATATTCCTTACTATTTCTTTTCTGATTCCTTTTCATAAAAATTATATTTTCCCAAATGTAAAGCCTTTAGGTAGGTATTTAACATCATCCATGTTCATAAATGGTCACTTTCACCTGAAAGCATTACTTGGACATATACAAACACAAAAACAAGAGAAACAATAGCTGTACATTTTCACAAGATAGGTTTGGCCTATATTACACTGACTTAAGTTAGGAAGATTCAGTTGTCTTTTCTAGAAGTAATGGTCTGAAAACTCCATCTCTTTAAGTAGGGAAGACATTGCTAAAAACCTGGATTCAAGAAGTATCAGTACACCGGAAGCATCACACTTACCTTTTCACTAAAACAAGAGACTGTGAGTTGAGCCCGTAAAGTCTTCCCTAGATGGTGTTTCTCTTTTCTGATGACATCCTCTGCAACTAAGTGGACATATGTCTTCCATTAGAAGTGTGTGTGACTAAACACATGGCTTAATTCTATTACCTAGAATGTTGAAGGGATTTTTCCACTGCATTATTCCAATAAACTCAACATTCAGATAGCTTGTTTCCTCCCTAACACACGAAAATTCATTTTATGTGTAAATATGGTCTTGTTGTTGTTGCTCTAAATGCTATTGAGTCAGTTCTGACTTGGTAGCAGCCCTGTATGGGGTTTCTGAGGAGAGACTGGTGGATTTGAACTACTAACCTTTCTGTTAGCAGTCCAGTGCTTACCCTACAGAGTCACACCAGGAATTCAAAAGATGACCTTAGTCATACTTTTATAACTCACCCCTGTGCCCCGATTTTCAGCCAAAACAATAGACAGATAAAAGGAATAATACCACTAGGGAAGTATACACACCTTAATCAGCCATTTGAAATCAAAAGGGCAGTATCTACCCAAGACCAAAGTTCAAAAGGGTTAAGAAAGAAGGAGAAATGGAAATAAGAAAGATGGCAAGGACATGTGCTAAGTGATGTCACATTGTGGGGATTGCAACCCAGGACATGAATCAAAATGTGTATGAAGAGATGAATGGAAAACAGATCTGCTCGGTAAAGCTTCACCTAATTCAAATTAAAGGTGTTTGTTTGTTTGTTTGTTTGTTTGAAACCTTAAAATCAGTTCCTTTTCATAGCAACCCTGTATAGTGTTTCTGAGGCTGTAATCCTTACAGAAACAGAAGGCCTCACCTTTCTCCCTCAGAGTGGCTTGTGAGCTTGAACCACCAATGCTGTGGATAGCAGTCCAGTGCTTATCCTACAAAGCCACCATGGTCCCATATGTATGAATAGGATACCAAACATACTGTTAATCACTGTCATAGGTAGACTTTACCTTCTTGAACCCAGGATATACCATATCTTTTTTAACTTTTTATTGTTAATTGAGTGAAGGTTTACAAAGCAGATCATCAGTTTTACATTCAACAAATCATATGTTTTCTTTCAATACAATGATTGTAATTCCCTCCATGTACAGTTAACAGTATTTACCTCTAGTCACTGTAACTATTGCATACTTCCCTGCGTTTCATGCTACCTTCATTTTTACTCTGTTAACCTCCCTCTTGTTGTATATTGCCTACCCTGTCTCCCATGTTAACATATGTCCACCTTCTAGTCCATGAATAATTTTCCCTCCCTCCTCCCTACCATAACCATCATAGATTGTTTCTTTCACCAAGAAAATCTTATGTTTTTATAACATTGATATCATACAAAATTTGTCCTTTTGTAATTAACTAATTTCATTCAACATAATGTCCTCCAGGTTCATCCATTTGTGAGATGTTTCACAGGTTCATCTTTATTCTTCATTGTTGCATAGTATCCTGTTGTGTGTATGTATCAACGTTTGCTTAACTATTCTTCTATTGATGAGTATTTAGGCTGTCTCCATCGTTTGATACATTTTCTGTAGATAGCATATTGAAGGATCCTGTTTCCTTATCCATTCTGTTTTCTCTGTCTTTTGACTGGTGTGTTTAAACCATTTTCATTCATTGTAATTATCGATAAGTATTCAAACTTTATGCTGAGCAAATAATCTGAGAAGCTAGATTATATGAAGAAAAACATGGCATCAGGATTGAAAGAAGATTCATTAATAACCTGTGATATAAAGATGATACAACCTTGCTTGCTGAAAGTAAAGAAGATTTAAAATATTTACTGATGAAGATCAAAGAGCACAGCCTTAGGTATGGATTACATCTCAATGTAAAGAAAACAAAAATACTCACCACTGGACCAATAAACAACATTCTTATCAACAGAGAAAAGGTTGCAGTTGTCAAGGACTTCATTCTTCTTGGATCAGCCATCAACATTCATGGAAGCAGCAGTCAAGAAATCTAACGACGTATTGCATTAGGCAAATCTGCTGCAAAAGACTTTTTAGTGTTGAAGAGCAAAGATGTCAGCTTGAGGACTAAGGTGCACCTGATCCAAGCCATGGTATTTTCAGTAACCTCATATGCATGCAAAGCTAGACAGTGAATAAGAAGACAGTAGAAGAATTGATGCTTTTGAGTTGTGTTATTAGAGGAGAATGTTGAAAGTACCATGGGCTGCCAAAAGAACCAACAGATCTGTGTTAGAAGTGTAGCCAGAGTGCTCCTTGGAGGTCAGGATGGCCAAACTTTGTCTCTCATACTTCGGACATATTGTCAGGAGGGACCAATCGCTGGAGAAGTATATCATGTTTGGTAAGATGGAGGGTCAGAGAAAAAGAGAAAGACCACCAATGAAATGGATTGGCAAAGTGACAGCTCAAGTGTGGCAACAATTGTGTGGTTGGCCCAGGACCAGGCAGTGTTTCGTTCTGTTGTGCATAGGGTCGCTATGGGTCGGTAACGACTCAACGGCACCTAATAACAATATGAATTGATTACTGTCATTTGCTGTGTGGTTTTTATGGGGCTGCTGATTTCTTTGTTCCACAAATTTTCTGTGCTGAGTTAATTTTCTGTGTTGTTTTTCCTTTCATTCTTATTTCTGTTGTGTTAATGTTTACTAAATCTTTCTGATTTTCCTTTTTTTAATTTTTATTTTGAGTGCAGGTGTATTAATTTTCTTGAAGTTACCCTGTAAATTTCTAAGTTTTTCCCCTGTTTCAAATAGTCTCTTTTATCTTGAAATCTGCTTGATTCCTTGCCATTTGGAAACTCTTTTTCTACACTCTTTCCTCTTTTTGTTTTGTAGTTGAATTCATTATGAATTGATATCTGTTGTTCCCTATTTTTTGTCTTGTAGGTTTGTTTTACTTTAAATACTTGTGTATCTGGATTGAGTTCTGAGTGGTATTGTCATGCATGGAAATCTCAGGTTGTTGTCTACTGTTGTTGGTTCTCAGTCCAAAGAACACCCATTAGCATTTTTTGTAAAGTTGCTCTGGTCATTAAAAATTCCTTTAAGTTTTGTTTATCAGAAAAAGCCCTAATTTCAACCATCGTATTTGAGAGTTAGCTTTGCTGGGAATATGATTCTTGGTTGGTAATTTTTTTTTCTTTCAGAGTTTTATATATGTCATTCCATTACCTTCTTACCTGCATAGCTTCTACTGAGAAATCAGAGCTTAGTCTTACTGATTTTCCTTTATAGGTAACTTTTTGTTTTTCCCTAGCTACTCTCAGGACTCTTTCCTAGTCTTACGATTTTGGAAAGTTTGATTATGATATGTCTTGGTGATTTTCTTTTGGAAACCTATTCTGTTTGGGGTTCCTTCAACTTCTTGTATGTTTATCTTCTCTTCTTTCATGATGTTGGTAAGTTTTCTTCAAGCAACTTTGACAATTTTATCTGTGGTTTTTATTGACTCTTCCTGTTCTGGAATTCCAATCACCCTTAAATTATACCTTTTTATGGTGTTCCACATAACTCTTAGGCTGTCCAAAGATTTTTATTATTCTTTTTTCTAATTGTTCTTCTAATATACTAGTATTGAGAGATTTATCTTCAGGCTCACTAACTCGGACTTCCATTGCTTTGAATCTACTCCTTTGCCTTTTTAATGTATTGTCCATTTCTGAAATCTTAATATTAATCATCTGGATTTCTAATTGCAGGTTTTGTTTCAATTTTTTTTTTTAATTTCTTTTGTCTGATTATTTTGTTTTTTCTTGCTTTTCTGCATCCAAATTTTTATTATTAAGGAATATATTATTACAAGTGTCTATTATATTGCTTAACATTCAATTATTTTCTCATTCAATTATTTTTTTTTTTTTTTTTTTTGCTTTTTATTGGAAATTGAGTGAAGGTATACAGAACAGATCATCAGTTTTACATTCAACAGCTCATATACTTTGTTTCATTACAGTGATTGCAATCCCTTCCACGTAACAACAGTTAACAGTACTTGCCTCTGTTAACTTTAACTAGTACACTCCCCAGTGTCTCCTACTCCCTTTCATCTTTCCTCCTTGTTGTATGTTGCCTGCCATGTCACCCATGCTGACATGGGTCTACCCTCTAGCCTGTGAATAATTTTCCCTCCCGCCCACCCGTAACCATCATAGTTTGTTTCTTTTTTCTTTGTTTTTTACTTTCAACCAATCATACGTCTTGTTTCATTTCATTGATTACACTCCCTTCCCTGTAACAACAGTTACTCTGCTTTCACCGTGTGACTTCTTTTTTACATTTTATTTTTCATAAATGAGCAAAGCAAAAATATTTGATGTATGCATACAAAACAAAAATATATATATTCATTTAAATGTCCAAAGGGCACATTTTGCAAGACAGTCTCCTGCCGGCAAGCACACAGCCTTTCTCAGTTCATGGACTTAGAGTCCTCAGTTGCTCTATCTCTCTATGCCATTGACTCTGCCACCGTGTCTCCTGTCACCGCTTTTCTAGGTAGGATCTCACGTTTCATTCATGCTCTTCCTTCTTGATTCATTTGTCTTGTTTGTTTTTGTAGTGTTTTCTTGAATTCTTCTTAAGCTTTTTCTGTGTTCTTCTTGCTTTCCTCGATCTTCCTGTCAATCCTTTGCAGGTACCTAAATGTCATTCTTTTCAGTTCCATTACCTTTTCCTCCTCAGAAATATTTTGTGTCTCCGCATCTTAGTCATTTGTTTGAGCCACTCTCTTGTTTTATCATTCGAGCTAAAATTGTCTGTTGTTTCCATGGCATTGTAGGGTTGTCATATTTGTTTTTACATTGGTGTGTTTTTAGGCTCTCACCAACAGTCTCCTGTGGGTATAGTTACAGAATGGAAGTGTTTGTACACCTCAGTTTAAGGAGGGTTTAGCTGGTATTGGCTGCTATCTATCATTGATCAGGTGGTATAAGAGCTGGTATTGGCTCTTGCCCACTTAAGCTATAAGGGCACAGCTTCTGTCTCCTGTATGGTACAAAAGATAAGAAACCCTCCCTCCCACACACAAGAAAGCAAAACAAAACAGAATAAACAAGCAACCAACCAACAATGAAAAGAGAAAATAAATAAAT